AAGGGGGGGAGGGCAGGGCGAGAGGCCGCTCACAAGCCGGGGAGGCGCATCTCCAACCGCGCGCCCAGAAGCTGCAGCCAGCGAGCGAGCGAGCGAGCCGGTCCGGGGACGCCCTGCGCAACGCGCACGCCCTCGCCTTGGCGCACGGCTGGCCGCCTGGAAGAAAGGCGGGTGTGAGTGTGAGTGTGTGTGTGTGTGAGAGAGAGGCAGGCTGCGGAGCCGAGCTGTCAGCAGCCCGGGGAGCGTCGGCCAACTCCGGCACCGCCGACGCGCTGCAGCAGCAGCAGCGACGCCCAGCCGCCGCCTCGCCCAGCTCCCGGAGGCGGCCAGGGGGGCGACGCCTTTTGCAGCCCCGGCTCCCCCCCGTTTTGGCTGGCTTCGCCTCGCCAGCTGATCCGGGTTGCAAAGCTTCCCACCGCCCCTAGATGGCAGCCGGGAGCGCGCCGGCCCCGCCTTCAACTGGGGCAGGGTGATCGGCCCCAAAGAAATGGGGGAACGGATCCTCCCCCCCCGCTTTGGCCTATCTCAGCCGCTCTGGATAAGCCGGCCTCTTTACCTACGCAGGTTTAGAGGTCAACTTTCCAATAAACCACAAGCAAGCCAGCAAGCCTAGAGGTCAACTTTCCAATAAACCACAAGCAAGCCAGCAAGCCTAGAGGTCAACTTTCCAATAAACCACAAGCAAGCCAGCAAGCCTAGAGGTCAACTTTCCAATAAACCACAAGCAAGCCAGCAAGCCTAGAGGTCAACTTTCCAATAAACCACAAGCAAGCCAGCAAGCCTAAGAGGTCAACTTTCCAATAAACCACAAGCAAGCCAGCAAGCCGGGGCTTAGTCCGACAGGCGAAACAGGCCTGTGGGTTGGGTGACCAGTTTTAGACTCCCAATTGAGTCCAGGGGGGTCCTCGGCTTACAACGCAGTTCATTTAATGACCGCTTGAAGCCGCAATGGCACTGAAAAGCGGAGGCGACTTGTTTTGCCCCCTTGCAGCATTCCCCATGGTCGCGTGATCAACATTAAACCGCTTGGGAACTGACTCGTGTTTAGGACGGTTGCAGAGTCCCCCGGGGTCAGGTGATCCCTTTTTGCGACCTTCTGACTAGTGGATCGGGAAGCCAGATCCACTTAACCCACCGTGTGACTGACTGAACAGGGGTTCACTTCACAGTCGGGGGCGGGAAAGGTGGTAAAATGGGGCAAAAGTCATTTAACAAAAGTCTCGCTTAGCAACCGAACTTCTGGGGCTCCATTGTGGTTGTAAGCCAAGGGCTACCTGGAGATGAACCCCAGGGCCAATAGCTAGTTTACCTCTCCTTGTGGGACAAACGATCCAGAAGGGAACCTCTCTTTGGAGAAGCGCGGAAATCAATCGGTGCAGACAGTTGAATTCAGAGCCCCCAACAGCCAAAATTAATCCGCATCTCCTCTCCAGAGCTCATCCAGGGAGCTAAAAAACATCCATGGAGGGTCCGTTAGTTTGACATTTATATATGTGCTTTGCAGATTCAGGAAGTTTCCCGTGGATTATTTGGACCTAAACCCCAGCAAGCCCCCCCCCCCCCAGATTCAGCCTAGCCAAAGAGCAGCTCCTCTCCAAAGCTTTGGGGGCAAGAGAGAGAGGGAGTCCAACGGCCGTTTGTGCTCCAAATTCCTTCACAATGGCCTGAGCGGCCTTTCTGAAACAAGGCGTTTCCCACAGAGATGGCGATGGGTAATTTGCAGCTGGAGACAGCCTTGCCGTGAAAGAGCTGCTGATTTTATCATGTGCTTCTTTGGCAGGAATCTGTTCGCAAAAACTCACCAAAAAACAAAACAAAAAAGGCAAGAATGGACACTGCCTTTAAGCATTAGGCAGTCAGTCCCGTCTGAATTTTCAGAAATCTGCTCTTAAATAAAAACCTGAATTCAGCTCATTACTCTGTCCTTTGCTTCATCAATGTGTGTGTGTGTGTGTGTGTGTGTGTGTGTGTGTGTAACAGGACAATGTCTCATGCTGAAACAGTCCAGGGACTTCCTTCAGGCTGGATGGCGCATTTATAAACAAGCCAAGTTTCTAGCCCTCAGGATTGCAAGGATGGTTGAAAACATACCAGGAATTTGCCCTGTAAATTCTTCCAAAATTTACTTGGATGACCCACCGTTGTCTTCCCAAGTTCCTAAGTACGGACTCTTTTAAAGACCGTAATTTTACGAGCCTTTTGGGCCATTGAACATGGGTCAAATGCCTCACCCCCTGCCCCTTTGAAGCCCTCCAGATTTGAGGGGCATTTAGAATAAGACCCCCTGACCCCCTGACCCCTCTGGAACGAGCTGCCCCCAGAGATCCGGTTGATTCCGGATCTCCCCTCCTTCCGCCGCGCCCTCAAGACATGGCTGTTTCAGCAGGCAGGACTGGCCTAGGGACATTTTAAATTGGTTTTTAATTAATTTTAATATATGAACGGGCCTATTGAATATATCTTTTAATTGGTTTTAAATTTCTTAGATTTGTATTGATTGTTTTGTTTTTTAATTGGCTGTAAGCCGCCCTGAGTCCACTAGGAGAAGGGCGGGATATAAATGCAATAAAACTTGTAAACTTGAGGACATCACCTTCCAATTCCGCCTTCTCAAAGACTGTTTGGGCCCAGATCAGATTAATCTAGCACGGGTAAGGCCTCAACAGCAATCGGCAGCAGAGGGCGTGCTGTTTACTCCTCACCCTGCGTCACACAAAGCCGTGGGAACCTTTTTCTCTGAACTCCAAGTGACACACAAAATTGATGGTTACATTTGGCAATCTTTTTGTCACTATAGACCAGCCTTTTTTTGGGGGGGGGTGTCAATTGTAGTAGTTTTAAGTTATTGTTGGCCTTATAAAAATCAGGCTTGCCCTCGCCAAGAATGAATAAGTGTATATATCAGTGCTTCCTTACGTAGAAGAATTTAAGTATAATTTTAACTGCAACTTCCTGCTAGTTCTCTTCCGGGTCTTAATTTGAAGCCCTGAAGTTTTTCAGCTCTGAACTTTCTTCCAGATGCCAGCCAGCTGTTTTAGCTGTAGGACAACTCAGGGAGGCAGGATAAACTCAAAAGAGCAGCTTTCATGCCTGAATGGGACTCTCCATCTTGATCCTCTCTAGAACAGCCGAATTCAATCACATCAGCCCAGAGAATGTAACAAAACATCCTTGCTTACACAGGAGAAGGTATCTTTGCAATCAAAAGGGATAGAAGCTTGTTTATTTTTAAGCCAAAAGCTCGAGTTTTTACAGAGGCAGACGTCTGTGGTGGGTATCATAATGGGTGGTCTTTTTAGAAGCACTCATGCTTGACGGTTGCCAAGCCTTGAGGCTTGCTGTTTATTTGTTTCATTTCTGTTTCATTTTTCTGTCTGGGAGCAGAGCTCTCACTAGTTGCCAGAAAGAATTGCGGGCCCAACTAGGAATTTATTCTTGGCCTGTTCACAAAATGGAGAGTTGGGAGGGAAAAAAAAACAACAATAAGCCCCATACTAACCATGGCTAACATGATATAGTCAGTATCCACCCATACATTCTCTCTGGCATCACTCAGAAAGTGTTTTTTCTCCATATGTAATAGAGAAAATGGGCATTTGTTGCAGATTCAACCTCATACCCATCACTTTGAGAGGGGTTTATAAAGGTCAGAGGTTCAGCTGCTACTCACCATGACTCTTTAGTGAAACCTCCATTACCAAAGAGAGTCTACCTCAATAACCGACAAGAGGGTAAATAATTAAGAGTTGTTTGTCTCCACAATCCACCCACAAACAACAAGGATGTTTCTGTGCTTTGGCATATTTCTCACCGAGAGAAAGAATTCTGCACATGGTCAGAGGTGATACCCCAGAACCACAAAAAAAACAAAAAACAAAAAACGTACCTAGCTTTTCAACTTTGCTTGGATATTGGGACTTTTTTTTTTTTTTTTTTTGCACAAAAGAAATTGTGCGTTTTTCTGCGAGGCTGGGAATTTTCCCCTGCTCCCTTCGGAAAAGCTCCGGCTGAATAAGCCCCTCCCACTCCTGGCCGCCGTTCCATTTTTACAGGCGAAGGTTGCAATCAAGGCGCGACGTCGCCCCCTTTAGGTCCCCTTGCAATCGCCCTATCTTTTCCGTAGGGCCGAGTTTAGGCGGCCGGCTGGCTGCCTGCAAGAGGTAACCAGTTGGGGGCAGGGAAACATCCATTACCGGCCCCGGGGAAGAGGGGAAGGGAAATAATCAAGCCAGAGAGAAATATCTCGCGCGTGGCATGTCTGAAAGCGGTCGAGTTAATGTATTCGAGCGGGGCAGGCAGTCGGATAGACACCCGGAAGGGGCCTTTATCGCCAGGCGCCTAGAGCGTGGAAAAAGTCCTGGATCAGGAGGAAGGCAGCAGCCGGGTGGATTGTCTTGTTTCATTAAAGAACCAATTTTAAAGCCAAAAACAAAAAAAAAGAAGACATTTTTGGAGGCGAGCCAATCCCTCTGCTTTGCAAAAACAATATTTTGCTTGGGAGAGTCACTTCTGCCACCATTGGGCATGCTTTTTTTCCAGGCGCGCCTGTCTGGTTGAAATTGCAACTTTTATTTATTTATATTTTTTTTTGGGGGGGGGGGGGGGGGCAAGCCGAAATGAACTGTACCAAAACTCGCTACTTAATATTCTTCCAATACTTCGGGGCCAAATATAGGTAAGGTGAACAGCGCATATAACAAATGCAACCTTAAAAGGGGCGGTAGGGAAATAAAAGACTTCAGAGGCAAAAAAATTAAAAAAAACAACAACAACCCACAAGGGAGAAAACAATGACGGACGTCCATGGGGTCATCTAAGGATTAAATGCAGAAGGGTAGATGCAAGAGATTAAGGAAGGTTGGAGGAGAGAGTGGTGAAAGAGGAGAGGAGAGGAAGAAGAGGGAAGTAGGGAAGAAAGAGAAGGAAGGGAGAAAGGAGAGGAGAGAGAAAAGAGTAAAGGAGGGGAGAAGGAAGTAGGAAGGTTGGAGGAGAGAGTGGTGAAAGAGAAGAGGAGAGGAGAGGAAGAAGAGGGAAGTAGGGAAGAAAGAGAAGGAAGGGAGAAAG